AAAAAAAAAAGAAAAAGAACGAAAAAAAGAAAAAGAACGGCATCACAAAAAATGCAGGAAATCATAATCTCCAGAGTGGATAAGGATTTTTCTTTGGTCAGGCAATTAAGGCTATGTTTGGTAACCAAATAAGCTAGTTTATAGCTTATTTGGTTAGCTTATAAGCTTATTGTGTTCAAATAAGCTTCGTTTGGTAGGACCAGTTTTTTTAGCTCGAACTTATCTCATAAGCTTCTTTGGTTAGCTTTTCAAATAAGCTCGTTGAAATTTTTATTTCAGCTAGCTAGCTTATCAGCTAACTTTACCGAACACTTTTTTCATATAATCTAGCTTTTCGGCTATATCATTAGCTAAAAACTATATGATCTTATCAACTAGTTTTACCTTACCAAACATAGCCTAAGAAGGAACAAGACACATGGTTGTTACGTTAGACGTTTATTTTGATGAAATATCAATACTATTCACAATTTACTCTTTTGCATGCTGGACACCAGTCACAAATCCGCATCAGGTAATTAAAAACAATAGATATTAATTAGTGGATAGTCATTCTTTTCCGCTCAATAGGAAACACATCGCCATAGATAGAAGTAATATGCAAGTGCACAGGAAAATGACGAGAACAAAAATGTGAAACATAAAGAAGAAACGGGGAGAGAAAAGAATAAAAAGAGTTAAGTTACCTTTCTTTCCGGAGGTAATGTGGTCATCCATTCATCTCTCTTGGGTGCGACTTTTTCATCCATCTCTGCCAAAAGTATGTCATCGCCCTCCATTGATATACCTGCAGGAAAAAAAATAGTTTCGACTTTCATATCAAGTAAAACTGGGGATGAACAGCAAAACCTGTCCTTTCCCTCATCTCTTTTTTAGTTTTTAATTTTAATCTGTCCGATTCAAACGGCAAGGAGGGCAGCAAAGGGATGTAATGCATTTGGGGCAGAGTACAGCGAACAAAACGCCATATGTTGCCAAGGGAAAACAAAGCAACCATAAAATAATCAAACAAATAGGAAAAAGAATAAGGAACCGGCAGATAATGTCAAACCTTGAAGACGTCTCCATTGAGCAGCTTCACGCATTGCCTTCAGTTCTGCCTGAAAATACAGAACATTTTCTTGAACATAAATGCACATATAGTGGATAGCATATAACTAATGGGGTCACAAATATACCTTGAATGCATCTTGTTCCTCCTTCTGCTTGATTTTGTCATCTAGTACTTTCCGCTGTAAAAAGGGAGAAAAAAAAGGCTGTTAAGATGCATACCAACATTGACAGCTGAAATTTTGAAGAAATTTGCGAACTGGTTATTGGTCTGGTCATTCAGACAAACAACCTGAAATGATTTTACTAGTCACATCAAGTGTTGATTATTTGAAACTAATGGTGTGTCATACACAGGATGTGACTAATCCCCATCTTCACAAACCATAACCATTGGCATGCCACAACAGTGTAAAGGCAGACAAGATGAAACCCTGATGGTTTAAGTGCTCAGTTAATTCAACTTACTGGCCAACCCAAGTGATTCAGAAATCATCAATTCTAACACAAAACTCCAGAAAATGTCGTTACACTCTTATTTCTTTTTTGAGGGGCAAAAAAGTCACAATATTCACCTTATCAGGATCCTGCAAATCCTTAAATGCTTTATTCAACTTCACAAATGCTTGGTGAGCTTGAGGGTGGGAGCTTTTGTCTGGATGAACCATAAGTGACAACTTCCAGTATCTAAACAAGGAAATAAAAACAGTGAGGTCATCAAGAAAACTTATATATTTGCATGCACGAAGTAGCAGGAAGAGATACACAGAACGTTTAAGCATGTGCATAATGAGTTTGAGTCATCCCAAAAGCACCAGCATTGTATACCTTTTCTTCATGCCTTCAGCTGACATATGATTGTTGACCCCAAGAATATCGTAAGGGCTATCTTCCTCGGCGCCGATAATCCTTGTAATCTGAACATGTATGACAGAAGTTAATCCTATGCAATCGTCATACAATTAACGGCAACAAAATATACAATGTATCCACAAAAAATAATAAAGATTTCGTTTTTTCCAAATGGAATCAATCGAGAAAGTTGGAACCTATGAACTAGGATATAGATAAGGAGGAAAAATGAATATTTACAATGAAGAAAATAATGTACCTCCTCAAAACGTTCTGCTTCATTTGCAGACTCTGCTTCTTTGACCAGAGCAGGAGGTGGAGGTCCTATAAATGACTCGTCGTCTCCATACAACTCAGCATCTCTGTCAAAAGTATTCTCATGCATTAGTACCCCATTCTTAACCTTTTTTTTTTTTTTTTATTCGTAACCTTATTTACCTGCTCTTTAGTGGCATAAGTTACAAAATAATATAAACAGGGAAAGAAAAGGAGAAAAAAAAAATTAGAGTACGATGAGCTATACCTCAATTCAGCTTCTGCTTCTGTTAATTTGGCTGCTGCAGCAAGTAACTCAGCAGAAGGCATTGCAGGACCAATGATCCTGAGAAAACCAAAAGCAAGGTAACCGTGACTACGTGATTAAAGAAAATAAGTGAGGCGAACCCAAAATTCAATCAACAGTAAAACTGTAGAGACATCTAAAGTATCCGCTACCTTTTCCGTGGACCAACAGCATCTTCCTTAGCATTATCGACATTGTCTTTTGCATGTACAGCTTTTGGTTCTGGTGGTACTGAGGGTGCATCTGTCGGTAAATCCAAATGACTAAGCTCCTTTTGAGGTTGCAAGTGAGAATGGATGATTGGGCCCACGACATCCAGTGTGGGACCTGCTTTACGTGGCAATAGAAAGACTCGATCCCCATTTTCTTTAAGATTTAATGATTTGAACAGCCTCCGAAGATGCTTGACCAGAGACTTCTCCGATAATCCTCTTATATCAACAGCTTGGCCATCGTCAATCATTCGCAAGAGCTAAATAAAACATCATTAATGCGAAGATTTATAATGTATTGCACAAGAAAATTCATCATAAACATCAGTAACACATTCTCAGCACTAGTAGAGCTGCTATAAACATCAAGATGGACACTTCATGACACAAACAATACAAATAGATGCGGTTGTGTTCAGCAAAATTCTTAAAAATGATAAATACAAAATTCCAATAGCACTATATTTCAATATGAATTTCAACCTCACAAGTTCCTAAGTTCAAAAGAAAGAAATTTCGTATAAACCCACGTTTAGCTCCCAACCAACTGTGATTAGCTCAGGCATCCAAAACTTGAATAACGAAACTATACACACCAAAAATTCATGATTTTCAGATAACATGCTAAAAGATGCTCAAAGCAAAAAATACCTGCTCCAAATCCCCAGCAACAGCAGGAAACTCCTTCAGCACAAACTTAACCACGTCCTCTGGGCTCTCCCGCTCCGAGTCCGAACTCGATCCTGAGCCGGACCCGCTCTCATCATCCGAATCGTATCTCCCCTTCTTCCTTTCCTTCCTCTTCTGTCTCTCTCGGTCTCTTCTGCTGTGCTTTCTCCTCGTCTTCTTTCTCCTTTCGCTATCTCTGCGCGACTTCTTATTTCTCCGTTTGCTATCCTCCCGATCACGGTCCCTGTTACGGCGTCGTTTTCGGACCTTCGACGACGATTCGAGCTGGCTGTCGGATGATGAAGCGGCGTCAGACGAGGGAGAGGATGAGTCGGCTGAGGCAGAGGTTGAGGGTTCCGGCGAGCTTTTCCGGCTTCGCGATTTTCTCGAGTGGCCGCCCATGGATGCGATTACAGTTTCGATTAAAGATTCGATTTTTTTTCCCTCTTTGATTGATCGAAAAAACTCCGGTTTTCGGGTTAGCCCGTCGGGGGATCCGTGTGAGTCGGATTTGGATCCCTAGTGGGCTCATTGCAATTCTAATGGATTAGATGTGATTAGATTTGGATTTGATACATGATTAAATTGTATTGGGCTAATGATCCAACACAAATCCAATACAATATACAAAGGGGAATTTTTAGGTTTACCACAAGAATTTAAAATATTTGCATTTGTACGAAGGTGTAGATTTTATTTGCCTTCCTACCAAATGCATTATATTTATTAGTGAATAATCAAATTTCAGTTACCAAATAAAACATATGAAACGTGTCCCTTAAATTGCGCATGAATGGGGATATCAGATTTGCACTAAAAAAGCAAAAATATATGGTAAGTTTATATACCTTATTAATTAGGAGATTGTTTCAATACAAAATAGAAAGATAAGAAATTTGAATCTCAAACAACGTCATCTTCTAAATACATATAAGGCTTAATTGCAAATAAAATCACGACCTTTAACCTTTTTGCAATTTAATCTCAACTTTAGGGAAATTGCAAATAAATCGTAACCTTTGTTGATTTTGGCAACCCGAACCCAAATGTAATCCGCAGCGACGAACTTGCCTACGTGTCTGGGCAATTAAGCTGACGAGGATGCCACTATGTCACACACACACGCACAACAAAGGGTAAAATGGTCATATTAAGAATTCAATACATATAAACTCAATAAATCTTCCCCAAATTAAACCCTAATCGCCAATTTCTAAGCTTCTCCTTCCAACTCTCGATCTTCTCTTCTAATTTCCGAGCTTCTCGTTCGCAATTACAAACCTAATTGAGTTGTTCATCCCCCATACCTCCTGATAATGTCGTTCTCTTCCCATACAAGCCAATGTTCTCGCAGCGGTGGCGGTTTGAAGTTTCACGGCCGAAAGGAATGCCTTCATGGTGAAGAGGCAGACATCCTCGTGTCGAACACGATTGATAATCCATGTAGAAGGTTCTACAGGTGTCGGCATAGAAAGGTAAATATATGGTTGCTCTTCTTGTTCCCAATTTCAGTTTTTTTTTTTTTT